ATTTTCTTTGATGAGTTAATTATGCATGTATGACTAAAACCCGGTCAGTTTGCATAAATAGGACCAAAAAATAAACTATGTTTCATAGTATTAATTATGTGTGTTTTGGACAAATATACTCTTGTGGCTATTGAAATGTTTTAATTTATAATAAAATAATAAAAATAATAAAAATTAGTAAAAAATACTAAACAAAATTAATAAAAATATCTAAATAATAATAATTTAATTTATTTTAAAATGTAAACAATTTTTTTTTTAAAAAAAAGAAAAACAAAAATAACTCACCGCCGCCTCTGCCGCCCCAGCACCACCACCTCCGGTCACCGGGGAAAAAATGCCACATGCATTAAGAATATCTTATTTATGGCAAATTCAATGAAAAATTTGGCATTCTCGAATAGTAATATGCCATTTGTTTGGCATTTTTTTACACCGATTCAGATGTGGTTGTGCAGGGAGGCAGTACAGGTGGTGGGAAAGGAATCTAATAAAAAACTAAAAAAAATATTATTTGCATCCAAATGAAATTAAACTTTTCAACTATCTTTACCTAAACAAAAAAAGTTCAATGCCTATTTGTATTCATTGAACTTTATCCAACTTATATATGATTTTTTTGAAAACTAAGTACACAGTTTTGTAATTTATTTATCTAAAATGGGTATAGTAAAGGAAATGCTCAATTTTTATTTATATCCATTAACTTTCATCCCTGAATTGTTTTTTCAAAACTAACTACATACTTTTGTAATTTATTTATCTAAAAATGAGTGTAGTACAGTCAACTTTTTTTATGATATTAGTCCTTATTTTTCTTAACCGATAATTCAAGTATGAATTGAGAAATAGTTTTGATAAGTATATAATATAATAGGGCCATTAATACAATTGTGGTGATAAAGATGTATTATTTTTAATATTTATTGGTTAAATTATCATTAAAAGTGCTAATTATTTTCTAAAATAAAAAATGAGAACTTCTACTAGGACAACTAAAAAATGAAATTGAGAACCTTTTAATTGAGACAGTGGGAGTAATAGCTCTCAAAGTCTAATAAAAAACTTAAGTCTACTACTATGATTACCACCACATTCAATAGCCGATTTAGGCTGGTGTAATGACACAGCATTGCCTCAAAATGAAGATGTTAAGGATTTTGTCTCAAAACTAAAATTTATTTGCCGGTTGATTTTTACAAATAAATAATGTCATTTAGGTTTTGCTTAAGATTTGTATAAGTTGCTTTTTTATGCCTTTTTGAAAGACGTTCATATCCACATATCACCCTTGATGTCCAAAAATGTTACGTATACCGTATACGTATATCGTATACACAGTACAAGGACTGAGTCTTATGACTATTGAATCGGATATCAAAATCTTTTTTCATAACCCGTTCTCTTTTGATTTCATGGAACAAATGCAGCACCGTTAAATAATTTTGTTACATTCTATGTAGTATATATAATAAAATTAAAAAAATAAAACATCTTCTATCCGGGTATAAAATAAGACTACATATTTTAAAATTTGCTAAATACACATTTGTCTTAATGCTATCTCAAATTTGTGTTCACCTTTCTAATTAAGGATATTTTGAATTGGAATCAATTTTTTTATCTGATCTATGAAAGTAAAAGTTGTTTTTTTTACTTTAGTGTATATATTATATATTAACAAAAATAAGCTAGGTTGTGTATAAAGGATAATTCTTTTACTCATGGATGTAACTTTAATGTAGTACGATTTGGTCATAAAATTGAGATCATTTTTCATTTCTAAATGTGTGGCATCTTTATTTTTTATTTTTTATTGCATAGTTTTACCTGCATATATATGTTTCGGTTATTTCCTACCACTTGAGGTAAAAATATTTTTATAGATTTAATTCCACTGACCTTCTAAGTAAAAATTGCCTACTAAGAGTCTAAATCACTTGCAACCTTTCTTCATTCAATAACATTCATTTTAAATCAATCTAATGAAAATTAAATTGACCGCCACCAATCGCGTTATGCAGTCGGCCTGTTGTTGCCGCCATTACATTTATTAAAACCAGAATGTCACAAAACTATATACTCTAATCTTTTTTTCTTAAAGAAGGAGATAGAAGGACTAATTTGCTCAATTCGAAATTCAAGAAGAGTTAATATCTTCAAAAAAAATGACAACCCATTATAAATAAAAAAATAAAAAATGTGTAGTTATTAGTTTTGAAAAAACAGTAAGCTATAGATAAAATCTAATGGATAAAAATAGGCATGGAACAATTCTTTTTTTTTGTTTAGATAAAGATAGTTGAAAAGACAAAATTCATTTGGATGCAACAAAAGTTATAAAATAAAATTGGCTCTTTTAATCAAATAATATATACTGACAACATTATTAACTAATGTTAATAATGTTTAGTTAAAAAATAGACATGCTTAATAAATAGGAATAAACATTATTTACTCATGTTATAATCAACTAAAAATTGACTTTGCTCTCTGTTGGTTCTAATAACTCATACATATGACAGTGCACGCGCGCACCAATAAAATGAAATCGTGTTTTACCGTGCACGGTGCGGGTAAAGATATACTCCCTCCGTCCCAATTTGTTTTGCAAAGTCAATATTTTTTGGTAAACCAATAATAAAAGTCAACTCTCCCTACGCATAATTAATTCAATTTTTAATAATTAAAATTTACATATTCAAAAACTACATTAAAATCTCTTCAAAGTTGTAAACTCCAAATTAGAAAATAATTAAAAATCGACATCCTAATTAAGTGAACAAAACGAGACTGTTTGACTAAGAAAAGTTAAATTTGCAACTCTTTTTGGGACGGAGGTAGTATATGAAAAAATTAGGTTTTAAAATTAGACTTGAGCATGTGTAATCCTCACCGATTGCCAAATTGTAATATAGACAAACTCACATGCACGTAAGAACAGTCGAATTCTCTGGAGAACTCGCAATGAGTGAATGCATGAAATTGCTAATAATGGAGATTGATGTCAGGCTGCATGCATGCATGCATGAAGTGCTTACTATACGCGGCGACCATGCTTTCAACCATCCACCACGTATCCTTAACACTGGACACCTGTCCCCATCCATGCATCTCCAAACCCCCTATATATACACCTCCTCCCATCCCTCCTTCATCATCAAAAATCAAGCATAAAAAACATACAACTCAACAAAGCCATGGCAAGCAAAACAGCAGTTCTCATAGCGTTCGCCGTTTTCCTCGTGTCCGCCTTCGCCGCCCTGGGCACGGTGGCGAGGGACCCGGAGCTGGAGATATGCCGCCAAAGATGCAGAATCCAGACGGTGGTTGACCCGTCACAGAAACAGTCCTGTTACAGCAAGTGCCTCACCTACAGCCGGGAAAGAGAAGAGCGGCGGGAGAGAGAGGAAGGGCAGGGGCAGGAGGAGCGAGGGGAGGACAGTCCTTTCGTGTTCCGGCCACGTCACTTCCTGACCGCGCATTCATCTGACCGGGGCAGGCTTTCGATTCTCCAGAGGTTTTCGGAGCGGTCAAACCTTTTCCAGAACATCGAGCCTTTCCGCCTCGGAGTTCTCGAGGTGGAACCCAAAACCTATGCTCTCCCGAACCACATCGATGCTGACTTGATTTGCTTCATTGCTAATGGTACACTTAAAACTCCCCTTCCTTGCTCCTTTAATTTAAGATGATTTTTTTTTTGGAAGGAAATTTAAGATGATAAAACACTCAATTTTATTGCCATGATCCAATATGAGTATTAAAAGATAAAGAAAATTCTCGAAATGGGAGTATATAAAAGGCAGATAATTTCTTAAACCGGATTAATACAAAGACCAGATTTATGAACAAAATTATGATTGTTTTATTCCCAACAAAATTATGATTGTTTTATTCCCAAAATAGTACTTCATTTTTGGACAACTTAATCACTTTATTTTTCAATTGACTAAATAAAATATAATCCTTTCTTTACACAATTAAAGTTCCTATTTGACTTTACATCTAATAGGCCCAGTTTGACTTTATGGTCTAATAGGTCAACATTTGACCATAATCATCTATGAAAGTACTTCGTATAAATATATACACATATAATCTAGATATAATAAATGACATTTGAATAGTAATATACTTAAATATGATAATAATGATAATACTAATCTTTAGGAAGGTTTATAGTCAAGTACTTTTCATTCTTTTAATATGACCAAATAAATCATATTTTAAGAAGAAAAATAATCTTATTTATAATTTGTTCATTTTTTTTATTCTTACAATGAGCATTTTCTTTAGCACTTACATAGGTCGATCTAATAGCTAGATTAAAAGAAATGGAGTGCTATTTAGAAATGGACAAAATATGTACTCTGTATTATATTTTTTTCTCATTAAATATGTTTGCAATGTAGGGAAGGGAATCCTGAATATCATTCAGGAGAACAAGAGGAGAATCTTCAATGTCACTGAAGGCGAGTTGGTGGTCATCCCCGCCGGAGCAACCACTTACCTAATCAACCCCGACAGTGACAGAAAGCTGGTCGTAGTCAAGCTCATCCGAACAATTTCCTCCCCCGGCCGTTTTGAGGTAATGAAATAGCGTTTATTTTAAGGTTCTTTTGTACCATTAAAAAAAGAAAAAATCAAATCTTGTGTGAAGTTTTTTAACAAAGATTATTATTGTCATTTTTGTAGTACTTCTTCGGGTCAATGTTTTTGAACGCATTTAGCTCGAGCATAAAGGAAGCGGCTTATAACGATGCCAACAAGGAGACATTGGACAGAGTCCTAATGAGGGGTCAAGATCAGGACCCTTTCTTGGAAATTTCAGACCAACAACTTAGGTCAATTGTCCGACAGGAAGAACAGGACGATGTTATTGGGTGGCCATTCTTAGCTGCTGCTGACAAGTCTTCCAAGAGAAGAACCGTCAATATCTTCCAACACAAAACCATTTCCAACAAATATGGTGAACTCTATGAAGTCGGCAATGATGAATTGGATAACATCCAAATCTCCTTCGCGAACGTCACTGAAGTAAGTGTCCTTAGCTCAGTATCCCTACTTCTTAGGGCAATTACTTTGATAATTCTGTTAACAGAGCTAGTTTCATGGATATGTATGTAGGGTGGAATGTTTGGACCTCTCTTCAACACAAGAGGAGTGAAGCTAATGTTTGTGGTGGAAGGAGAAGGATCGATGGAAATGGCGGTAGCGTCCTCCAAGCCAGACAGCGGCTCATCCGAGAAAGGCAGCACCCGCACGCCGAGCTTCGAGAGAATAAGCGCCAGATTGTTCCCGGGAACCGTGATCGTGAACCCGGCCGGGCACCCGTACGTGAACGTGGCGGAGCGGAGGAGCCTGAAGCTCCTCTGCTTCCACATCAATGCCCGGAACAACGAGAAGGTGCCGCTCGCCGGGAAGAACAACGTGTTCATGAACTTCGATAGGATCGCGGAGGACATCGCCTTCGGTGGCAGCCGGAAGGACGTGGAACAGGTGTTCGGAAGCAACAGTGATAATGAGCTGTTCTTCAAGGGGCCGAGGGAGGAGCGTCGTGCGGTTGAGTAAGAAATGAGAGAGATATTGCACGTACGTCTTTTGCATGAATGAATGGATGCATGATGCATGCATGTGTCTTGTATGAATAGTCTAGTGGTTTGGCTGGCCTGCCTTGTATGCACAAGCCAGTTTTTATGTTTAAATTCAAATGAATAAGCAGAGATGTAAATGATTTCGGGGAGGACGTTTTGCATAAATAATAAATTATGGTTTTTCCCTTTTAATTATGGCCCTTTTTGTTATTTCTCATTTCTTTTAAATTTGTTTTAGTTAAATGTATCATTCGAACATGTTTGCGTACAAAGTTTTCTTGAATATAATTATGAGTTTCAGCTGACTACTTCGTAAGTTACATCATAATTGAAGATAATTAGTATAGTATTCGGTTTGCAAATGAAAATGGGTCATATAGTATTCGGTTTGCAAATGAAAATGGGTCATATTTTAAGGGGAGTGGAATTGAAGTTGTGGTTTGGTTATAATGAATCTCCTTGTTAAAATGGGTTCGCAAATGAAAATGGGCCATTATATTGAAAATGAATATGGGCCATATAAGACTTCCTCAAGTTATTTACAGCCCGATCCAATCCAGTAAAGGTAAGCCCAGCTCCTCTTTTAGAATGGGCTTATTCTTGTACCACATACTAGTACAAACGTGGAGCAGAGTTTAGTACTTCCCGATCCGCTAGCAACATTGCATCAACCGCACATTGTATTGTGTGTATATGTTAAACTTCAGTTGTTACTTTGAGCCCGTTTGGAGAACTCTGTTTTTGGCTTATCAGGCTTATCAGCTAGCTTTTTCAGGGAAAGTAAGGTTGGAGTTACTTTTCTGGCTGTATTGGCTGAAGTTACTGTAGAGGACCATTTTAGCTATTTTTACATATAATTTTTTCTTTAATTTATTAATAAAATATATTTTTAAAATATTTTTTTCTTAAATCAGCAGAATCAGCCAAAACAGCCACTCCAGCCAGAATATCATAAATTTCAGCAGAATCAGCCAAAACAGCCGATTTTGGTGCTACCAAACGGGCTCTTTATTTGTTTCATTCTATTTCAATTTTTGCAAAAAAATCCACATTAGGTATTGGATTGTTACTTTGTTTCTTTGATCATCCGGAAGACCCACCACCCATATACGTACATAACCTGTAAACTATAAAATTGTACTATATATCCCCGTTTCTTTTTAATCGCAACATGTTGAATTTTACTCTATTCACAGGCTCTACTTTGACTAAATTTTACGCTATTATTTTATGAAAATTATTTTTAAAAAAAGATATTGTTCAATTCATCTCATTACAAAGTCTCAAAATCCGATATTTAGTTTTTTTACTAATAGAGATTAAGATATAATTACGGTCAAAGTCGTGTGTTGGCAAATGTGAAATGTTGACCGTTGCAACTAAAAAAGAACGGAAGAAGTATCATAAAAATTCTCCCTCCGTCCCAAGTGATGTATTTTCTTTTTCGGATGTCCCAAAATGATCGACATGTTTCTTTTTTTGGAAAGAAAGATGTGGTCAACATTATTGCACTTTATTATACTCAAATCTCAATCACAACTTTTACCTTTTCAATCACTTTATTAAAATTTGTGTCCAAAAGAAATGAAAACATCGAATTGGGACGGGGGAGTATTAAACTTCCAAAAGGATATAAATCACCAGAACTTTATTACAAATAACATCTTTTCAAAAAAAAAAACTTCACAAATAACATTGATTAAATAAATAAAGAGGATTTACCTAAATGAGAGTAAATAAATCTTTAATTGCTGAAATAGGACTAAAGTTTAAAAATTTCTCAAATAGGAGTTATTATTTGTAGTTGGACAAAAACACACCATTTTCTTGGAAAATATGGCTGCTGACAGAAAGCCGGACCGGCTTTGGTCGCCGGCCGCCGCCGCCGCCTAAGAATTTGCTGACACTGCAGATCTAGTCTCCGCCGTTGCAGATCTAACCGCCGCTGCTACTGGTCTGAACTCTGATGCCGTAGATCTAGTCAGATCTAGCCGCCACCGGCCGCCGACAAATCCGGTCAAGCCGTGGCGGATCCGACCTCGCTGCTACACATTCGGCCTCTGCCGCTACGAATATGACCATTGTCGCCGCTGATATCAATATTTTTATCAGAATGCCAACATGAATGGAAAATGCCATTTTAATTAGGGCTGGGCACAGGGCGGGTCGGGCGGGTAATGCAAAAGAAAATGGAATCGCCGGTTCCATTACATGGGTCGGTCCCGTCCGGGTATTGCAATTTTCAAAATAGGAACCGGAACTTACCCGGCCCGTTTGAAACGGGTAGGTCCGGTCTAGGGATTTCTGTACTTATATCCATGTCTAAACTATGTATAACAGCTTAGTGTTCTTTTTTTTTAAGGAAACCGCTCAGTGTTCTTGAACACAATATATGGACAAAATCTACAAAAAAACGGGGGTGCCATTACTGCTCAATGCTAATACTGTTACGGTGTTACTATTACTATCTCTCATGAAAGTGGGTCTAATAACCGAAAAGTCACAAAGTAATGCCCACCTATCTTGAAGTGTGTGTATGTGTTCTATCTTGAAATCCAAATTTGGTATACAAAAAAATCTGGATAAGGGTATGAAATGTTGAATACTTCAATGTAAGACAAAAATTTGAGTTCACATTAATGTCTTACCAACATAGAAGTAGTACTCAACATTGTATCATCTTTCTATCAATCACCAAGGAAAACCACTAATATATACTATCATCCAATTGAGTACCCCAACTTCAATTAGCCCCTCTACTACTGTGAAAAAGTCAGTTAAAGGTCAGCCAGCATTTCTCCGGTATACTTGCACACGTGGGCTATAGGTGTCAATTTCTTTATTTTTAAGGAAAACTATCAAATAAGCCTCCGATCCGTACTACTGTGAAAAAGTCAATTAGACCCCCCAACCCAATTATCATCCAATTGAGTACCCCAACTTCAAAAAAAATCAATTCTATCTTTTTAGAGGTTAGCCAGCATTTCTCCGGTATACTTGCACATGTGGGCTAAAGGTGTCAATTTCTTTATTTTTCTTTTTCTTCTTTTCTCCATTCTTTTTCCCTAAAATAAAATAAAAGGAAAAAGAAAAAAAATTAAAGGTTATGCCATGTCACCTGCCACATCTACATTTTTTACTTGGAACCGGGAGACTACCGGTCAAATAGCCAATTTGATTATTTTACATGAGTTCATGGGACTAATTGGATGATAATTGTGTTGGGGGTCTAATTGACCTTTTCACAATGGTAGGGGGCTATCTGACAGTTTTCCTTATAAACTATAGTCATCGTCTAAAGTAAAGACAGGTCACTAAACACGGATTCCCCAACGATTTTACTTTCTATTATACTCCGTAGTACTTATACAGTGGGATAAGGGTCAGTTTAGTCCTCGAAGTTGCAAAAGGAGTCAAATAAGTCCTTATCTAGAAGATTCTGTCTGGAAGTGTCATTTGAGGTGGCTCCCGGTGGAATTTTTTGATGAAATTTTTTGAGCATCTTATTTGTTGGGATATATTATCCCGGCCTATTACTGTTCAGGAGCCCAAGACATTATCCAGTACGGAGCCCGAGCAGCTAGGCCCATTTCGGCCCATCCGGCCCACTTTGACCACCAGGCCTGATATCGGCCCGTTTTGGCCCATTAGGGTGGAGAGCCCCTTCTCTCCTTCCCCTATAAATACGGAGCTTAGCCTCCATGTAAAGGATCCCTTTTTCCTTTCTTCTTCTCCCTCCTTAGCTAGATTAGAACTCCATTAATGGGAGCTTCAAACAAATTGTACTATGTAATGGTGAGGAGAGTCCTAATGAGAAAGAGAGGGTTTGGACATTAGCCTAAAAAGTCCCGTGGTTTTCTCCCTTTCGGGTTTCCACGTAAAAACTGAGTGTTCATACATATATTTACTATATCGTGTTGGATTAAACTCAACACTGGCGCCGTCTGTGGGAAAGATGGGGAGAAGAGGAGGGTAGCTCCTATGTGGAAGGGAATCTTGCCCGGGTGTGCCAGATCTTCTCCCACCGCCGAAGACGAACGCCTCTCGATGTAGAGGTTAGTAGAGACGCGGAGGGGGCTAGACGAACCATGGGAGCCTTGCCAAGATAAACCTGTTCATCCCACAATGACCATGGATCGATGGACGTGGGATAACAAAGACGGGAACCCGTGAGGGTAAACCAGTTCGTCCCTGCGAGTTCCTTGGGTACCGAACGTCTTCTTCGATGCAAGAGACGCCGGTAAGACTAAAAGGACCAGGGACGAACGAAAAAGGGGGAATCTCGATGTAGATATACCTGTTCCTCATTGCGATGTCCGCGGATACCGAACGTATCTTCGATGTAAGAACGCCGGTAGGACCAAGGACGAACGAAGACTAAAAGACTCCAAAAAAAAAAAAAGATGCCAGAAGAGCACGGAGCAAAGAATGATTTTATCCCTTGGCACTATTGGCCGGGAAGTACAAACTGAAAAACATATGTAAAGAATAATTACAAAACTTAAGTACGAAGAATGAAGTGGCTGACGACGATCGGCTAAACATCAGGCTTTCTTTCGCCTTGAACGACGGATACCAGCTCCTCAGATCAGACAGAGGGACGGCGCCCAGGTCCACCCTTCCTCCCAGGATGAAGTCCTGACAGACGATCGGCTTCTCAGCGCCATCGTGTCTCTTTCACGTTCGGATCGCCCCATTCCCTCCAGGATGGCGACGAACGTCTTATGCAATGCGATCGGCCTCCTCAGCGCCATCGTACCTGGCTCACGGTTCGACTCGCCCATTCCCTCCAGGATGGTGACGACCGTCTTGTGCAGCACGATCGGCTTCTCAGCGCCATCGTGTCTCTTTCACGTTCGGATCGCCCCATTCCCTCCAGGATGGCGACGAACGTCTTATGCAGTGCGATCGGCCTCCTCAGCGCCATCGTACCTGGCTCACGGTTCGGCTCGCCCATTCCCTCCAGGATGGTGACGACCGTCTTGTGCAGCACGATCGGCTTCTCAGCGCCATCGTGTCTCTTTCACGTTCGGATCGCCCCATTCCCTCCAGGATGGCGACGAACGTCTTA